TTCAGAATTTTTCGGATACCAAAGACCCAATTTAGGGCAACCTTTGATATACCGAAAGATTCTTTTAACAGCAATAAGATGAGAGAGTTTAGGATTAGCCTTATAACGTGCGCATTGACAAACTGCAAACATAATATCTGGTCAACTTGCAGTAAGATACATCAGGGACCCGATCATTGATCGATAGAGAGTTTGATCTATGGGTTCACCTTCTAGATCTAGAGTCAGAAGAGGTCGTTCAGCCATTGGTGTTGAAGCAGATTTCGCATCATGTAGCGCGAACTTCTCAAGAATATCCTCCACATACTTGGCCTGATGTAGAAGGATTCCGGTTGAATTCTGTTTAACCTGAAGCCCCAAAAACATGGTCATTTCTCCCAAAGAGCTCATTTCAAATCGTTTCTTCATTACACTTTCGAACTCCTTGCAAAGCTGATGGCTGGTTGAACCAAAGATTATGTCGTCGACGTATATTTGAACAAGTATCTGATCCTTGTCGACATGTTTTATGAACAAAGTTTGATCGATAGTACCGCGAGTGTAACCGTGTTCGAGCAAGTGCTTCGTTAGAGTTGCATACCATGCTCTAGGAGCTTGATGCAGCCCATACAACGCTTTGTCCAACTTGTAAACGTGATTAGGAAACTTCGGGTCGACAAACCCTGGAGGTTGATCAACGTAGATTTCTTCCTTCACCTTACCATACAAGAAGGCAGTCTTGACATCCATTTGAAAAACAGTGAAGTTCATATAAGAAGCATATGCTAGAACGATGCGAATTGCCTCCAAGCGTGCTACAAGAGCATATACTTCAGTGTAGTCAAGACCCTCGACCTGTCGAAACCCACGAACTACCAGTCTAGCTTTGTTTCGCACAATGACCCCTGAATCGTCCTGCTTGTTACGATAGACCCATCGTGTGTCAAGAGACCTTTTGCCTTTTGGTAACTCAACTAACCTCCAAACACCGAGTTACTCAAATTGATGCAATTCTTCATGCATTGCATCCACCCAACTAGGTTCATTTAGAGCCATTTCTACATTCTTGGGCTCAATCTATGAGATGAAACAAGAATATAGACATGTATTAACGTCTCCACTTTGACTTCTAGTTTTGACTCCATCCTCTAGCTGGCCGATGACGTTTTCAATTGGATGATCGCGTTGAACTTTTGAGGGTATTTCTTGGCGGATATCATTTAATGAAACAGGGAGGGTGTGTATGTTGATCCCTCCTTCATTTGCTGGTTCGGCAGCCCCAGATGGTTCTGCGACATAATCATCTGCAATAAGATCAGGAAAGAGTAATTCCATGAATGTTGAGGAGACAGCGGAAGCATCGTTTGGAGTTAACTCTTTCTCTGCAGACATATGAGGTGTCGTTCCAGCATCAGAAGGGTCAGTACGGACTGATTGGGGACTATCATATACCACAAACGGACTCTCTTGAGAAGTAGAAGATGATTCCCATGCTCCTGTTGAAGAAGACTCCCCCTCAGATGCAGCGGAAGATCCTCCCTTATGAGAACCAGAAGCATCTCCCTCAAGTGAGGCTTGAGCTTTTCCTTTTGATGAAACAGAAGATTTGGATACTGGCTTGTACAGGACTTCTTCGTCTTCATCTTCAGAGATGCCCTTCCTATACATATCAGTTCGAGATACATTGTTTGAGTACATGTCTAAGAATTTGAAAAGTGACGTATAATCAAACAACCAATCCGGACCCACTCGAGCGTCTGTCTCATTCTCTTCTAACCAACGCACGTCATAGGATTCCACAATTTGCTTGGTTTTCTTATTGTAGACTCTATAAGCGGTGCGTGCAGCATACCCCACAAAATAACAATTATCTGCTTTGGCGTTAAACTTCGGGTTGGCATCTAGGTGAAGAAGGGTGCAAGGACATCCAAATACTCGAAAGTGACTGACTGACGGTTTGTGACCATAGTAAATTTCATATGGAGTTTTCATTTGAGCTTTATTGATAAGCACTCGATTCTGAACATAGAAGGCAGTGTTTATTGCCTCTGCCCAAAAGAAAACAGGAAGCTTTGAGTCACACAACATCGTCCTTGCAGCGTCTTTAAGTGTTCTGTTTCGCCTTTCAACAACACCATTTTGTTGAGGTGTATGAGCTGAACTAAATTGACGCAAGATACCCTTTTCAGCACAGAAGTGATTGAGAACAGATTTCTTGAACTCTGTTCCATTATTGGTGCGAAGTGCTTTCACCCTTTGATTGGTCTGATTCTCAACAAGTATGATGAACTTTTTGATCAATTCAGTGACGCCAAATTTGTTGGATAGAAAGAAAACCCACGTAAAACGAGAGAAATCATCGATCATAACTAAATAGTAAGAACTTCTATTGATGCTTAGTATGTTCACTGGACCAAATAAATACATGTGAAGAAGTTGTAGAACCTGACTTATTGAGTTGACCTGCTTCGGCAAGTGTGGTTTTCGATGATGCTTTCCTTGAGCACATGACACACATTTCTCAAATGTGATAAAGTCTTTGACAGGTAATCCACGGACCATCTCATTCTTTGCAAGACGATTGAGATTCTTGGCGTTAGCGTGACCTAATCTTCGGTGCCATAACATTGCAGTTTGCTCGGAAATCTTTGAGAACAAACAAGTAACTTGCTCTGGGAGATTGCTATTCATATCGATAATGTAGGCATTCCCATCCCTTTTTGACTTTATGAGAATCCATTCTTCAGGGATGACAAAGCCCGGCTTTAAGATCATGCATTCCTTGTCAGTGAAATGCGTAGAATAGCCCTTGTCACAGATCTGCGAAACGCTTAGCAGGCTGTGCTTTAACTCTGGAGCGAAATTCACATTTTCAAAACTCGATACCAATTGTAAAGTCCCGAAAATAGATCTACCAATGATCAAAGACAAACACAGATGCAAACAACGAAATAACAAGCAATTAAAAGAACAAAAACCAAGCTTGCATACGCTTTAAAGCAATAAAACGTCTGATACAACTTGGAAAACACGAAGGCATCAACAACCAATAAAGTCTGATACCACGCCCTATTTATAGACTCGAATTACAACCGTAAGGAGTTTACGGCCGTAAACTCACTCTGACCGTAAACTCAGACAAAAACCTTCCTTATACATACCCACTACTATTAACTACTATACCTAGACCAAACCACTATACAAGGGTCTTTCAATAACTACCACAATGCGTTGTGATTCATTGGTATAGTTAGATCCTGAAATTGTTCCATGCTATAGCACCTTATTACGTTCTGTTCTGTTTTGTTCTGTTCTGGTATTGTTCTGTTCTGTTTTGTTTTGTTTTGTTCTGTTCTGTTATGTTCTGTTCTTCATTGTACTAGAATTAATGAATGGCATTCTCTTAAACTATACCTATAATAGCTTACTAACGCTCTAACTGGACTGTTACTGAAAAGACTCATTTATCTAATAAGTTATGCTTATACTTTAAAAATAGAGTTTTGTATAACTATAAAGTAGCATAACCTTTAAAAGAGTTTTGAAATGTTTTAACAACTTATAAATAACAAAAGTAACATTTTGAAAGATGTTTATATCAAACATTTACACAATTATCATTGTGTTCAACTTGTATTCCCCCTTAAAACAATTAAAATAGTTAAAAGATTCATTAAGGCGTATGAACTCACCTGATGTGGGTGATTCAAACGGGTATGTGTGTAAGGATGAGAAGCTCCACGAATGAAGTCCCGAGACACAATAAGTCCTAAATGACATATAAGGATACATATTGACATAAATATAGTGTTTACAACAACTATATGAAAGGAAACGCCTTCCGGGACTAGGGAACACCTTAACCAAGTGTTGGAATCACATGTAATTCAACATAGGAAGGTATAAAGGCACTTAAATGAGTTTACTACCATGAGTTCATGGCCCAAGGGAGTTTACGGCCGTAAACTCATGGTTACTCATGAGTTAGTGCAAGTTTGAAGTCTAGGGGGGTGATTTAGGGACATTAGCTTTAACCTAGGATGAGAAAGACCACTTCTTTTGGCACTTTTGGGGTGTTCACGGCCCAAATGAGGTTACAACCGTAAACTCATGGCCAAATATTCTTATGAGGGTCCTAAAGGTCATAAAGAAGCATTCTAAATTCATGCCTAAGCCCTTGGAAGTGCTTGTGGCATCAAAACACCCCTAACTTGAGTTCTCGGCCCATAGACCATTTGGTCATGTGTTTGCAGCCGTAAACACTTGTGGGTGATTATATTTTAATTGTTTTGGGTCCTAGACACATCAAGGTAAGAGGCTATGCTAGTCTCTTGGCTTAAGGGTGGCATTTAGGGCATTTTGAGACCCTAAAATGGAGTTAACTCTCCAAATGGAGTTTACTCTCCAAGATGTTCTTGGGGAGTAAACTCTCAAATCTTATTGTTTTGAGTTTGTTTTCTGTTCCTAAACTCATTTGTGTACAATTCCAAACTAGTTTCATGGCTTAAGGAAAGGCTAGGCTCCATTTGGCTCCTGAAAAGGAGTTTACTCTCCAAGATGTTCTTGGGGAGTAAACTCACAGATCTTGATGTTCTGTTGTGATTTTGATGTTATTAAGCACAATCTAAGCTATATAATACAACTAGATTGAAGTACTCACGATTTGGGATAAAAACCCAAAGATCCGTGAGAGAGAATTTGGCTTTTCTCTAATTGGGAATGTAACTAATGAATAATTTGGTTCAGAATCCTATATATAGTCCTGGGATTTTTGGCAGAAAATATTTTATTCTCGGAATGAACTCTAATATCATAGAGTTTTGGAATAACAGAGTTGCACAAAACCCAAGTGCATCCTCTCTCCTAATATATCCTTAAGTGTAAATCCCGAATTGCTCAAACTTGTCCCAAAAGTTTGAAAGTTAGCAGCAACAGGCTTGGCTTCTATTGAAGTGGATGGTTTCACTGAATGGAAATTTTTGGGTTGGCACATGGATTGACAGGAATTCATCCATATATTGCTAATGATAAGACGGGGGTGTAGCATAATGGGATGAGCTGGCACCACCGGCAGGAGAAGCATGGTGGTCCTCCTCTTCATCATCATTATCATCACCATCTTCCTCTTCTTCCTCTTCAGAGAAGGAATTGGGGAAAAGATATGGTGTGATTTGCCAGTCGGTCATATGATTGGGGTCTCGGAGATCAAGAATTCCTTTGTTGTCGGGTGTGATGAAGAGCTTGGGATCATGATTTTGACCCACGGTCCAGTGATGTGTGCCATCGTCTGCCGAACGGAAGAGTCGCATGGACTCAAGGACAGTAGTGGTGAGGTAAGGCTCACCCGACAGTGGCTGGTGGGGACCGGGGTATGGGGCTCGGATTTGGGCGCTCTTGGCGAGCATACTGACAATACCCCCGCAAACAATCTTTCCCGATCGGGATGTGCTTAGGCGGATGAGTTTGTGACACAAAAACCGACCATGATGAGGAATGAGGTTGTTCTCGGGATGGGTCATTGCATAGAGGATTTTGAGTTCTAGCGCGCTGATGGTGCTTCGCTCCTCTCTAGGGGGGACGAGCGAAGCAATGATTCTATGAACTACCTTCATCATGGGATGGATGAGTGATGAGGCTTTAGCGGCACTAGAGACATATGGGTGTAATCGGGTGAGTTGGGTCCACCACGTTAAGTCAAAATATCCTTGAATTGGGTCGGTGGGGCCAAATGTGTTTTCCGTTGGGGCCCCCACAATGGCATTGATTTGATCTAAAGAGATCTCATAGTCTTGATTCATTAGACGGAAGGAGAGGATCCCATGGTCCAAATACACTGAGGATAGAAACTCAGCTGTTGGGACTTTATAGCTCAATTCATGGACCCTCAACAAGCCGTGCCACCCTATGTTGCGAAACAGGGTTTTGACTTGACTATAAACATGCAACTCTTTTAGGGATGGAACATGCGCAAATTTTTGGATGGCATGACCCCGTTAAGGAATGACTCAAGTTTGCCTTGTTGAATTGGGCCAAGACATACGACACCACAATGAGACGGGTCGGCTGGAGGTGTTGGGGATCTAGATGGAGGTGATGGAGATCTAGATGGAGGGGATGGGGATCTAGGCCTCCGACGGCGGGCGGATGATTTGGTGTGTCTTGGTCTTTTGGAAGATGTAGCTTCCATAGTCAAGTTTTGGGACAAATTAAAAGTCAATAGGTTAATATGTCAAAAAGTCAACTGTTGACGGGTCTAGTCAACTTTGAATTTGGCCACCAAAATTTCGCGGGAAATTTGGTTTTCAACAATTTCCTACTAAGAATCAAGTCCAAATAGACCACAATTTCAAGTAATTTGACCCAAGAACACAAAATCCAAAAGTTAAGAGTTGGAAAGAATTTACCGAATCGTGTGTTGGATTGTGTTGTTCTTGATGGAAAAGATCTTCCTTAACCTCCCCAAGCTTACTCCTTTCAAGATTAAGACACTAAAACACCAAAATCAAGTGAGATTTTCGGATCTAGGGTTTTTCAAAACCCCCAAATCCACCATTAAAATGCAAGAAAATGGTGTTTAAGATGGAGAAGATGAAGTGTAGATGATGAAAATCAAACCTTTTTGTAGATGAAAGCCAAAATCTTGAAGAAATTGAAAGGTTTTTGATGAAAATCGGACCCTAGGTTTTTGTTGGGAGAGAGGGGCTGTTAGGAAGTGAAAGTGGGGATAAATGAGGTCAAGTCCCGATTTTTTTTCTTTAAAAAGGGTCATAACTGCTGCGCGGACACGACCCGTGTCGACCCAGGCCAAATTGACACGCCCCGTGTTGGGGGTTTTATGCTGAGTTAAGGACAAACACGAACCGTGTTGGGTCAAGGCCAAAACCAACACGACCCGTGTTAGTCTCTGGAAGAATTTGGGTGTACTTTTGCATGGACACGACCCGTGTCCATTATAAGCCAAAATGCGACACGACCCGTGTTGCCCTCTGGAAGAATGTGGGACTTTTTTTCACGGACACGGCCCGTGTCAATTGTAGGCCAAAACCAACACAACCTGTGTTGGTCTCTGGGGGAATTTGGGTCTTTTTTTCCATGAACACGCCCCGTGTTCCATTAAGGCTAAGAGGGACACGACCCGTGTTGGTCCCTGGATGCTAATCCCCACTTTTTGAACTTGAAAATTTCCATCTCTTTGAAATGAAATACTTTTCCACCCTAAGGTCCGTTCTTTTGGTTTGAAAACAATGACAAAACACATTTGGAACATTAAAAACCATAAGAATGCAAAGAACGAAATGTTTTAACGAAAAATGACGAAAATACCCCCGGGTTGCCTCTCGGTTAGCTGCCCTTGTTTTAGGTCATTGGCTCGACTTTGTCCCCCAGGTGTGCTTCATTCTTGGTATGTGGGGTTCTCCAACTCATCAACCTCTTCATTCTTCACCTCAAATCCTTCATAAAACGGCTTCAACCTGTGACCATTAACTTTGAATGTTTTACCTGTTTGCTTGCTCGTGATTTCCACTGCACCATGGTCAAACACCCTTGTGACCATGAAAGGACCAACCAATCTTGATCTTAACTTTCCTGAAATTAGCTTGAATCTTGAGTGGTAAAGCAACACCTTTTGTCCTTGTATAAAAGTCTTTCGGGAGATTGCTCTGTCATGATATGCTTTTGTTTTCTCCTTATAGATCATGTTACTTTCGTATGCATCATTCCGAATCCCCTCTAGCTCTTGGATATCAGGTTTCCTTTTATTTCCTACATCATCCTCACTCAAGTTGAATTTCTTTACCGCCCAAAAAGCTTTATGCTCAAGCTCAACTGGAAGATGGCATGCTTTACCAAACACAAGCCTATATGAGCGCCTTTGGTGTGCCAAACCGTGAGAAAATCTGTACCTTAAGGAAATCGACCACAACTTTGGAATCATTAGTACAGGTGGCCTTAGCCTCCACCCATTTGGATACATAGTCCACCGCTAACAAAATATAAGAACAACCAAAAGATGGCGGAAATGGTCTCATAAAATCAATACCCCATACATAAAAAATCTCATATACTAGAATAGGGGTAAGGGGCATTTGATTTCTAGAGCTTAAAGATCCGGATTTTTTTCACTTTTCACAATGTGCACAAAGCACATAGGAATCATGGAAAATAGAAGGCCAAAAGAATCCACTATCTAAAACTTTCCTAGCTGTCCTTTGGGGTCTAAAGTGACCACCACAAGCATAAGAATGACAAAAATTAAGGATAGATTGTACCTCTTTTTGCTCAACGCATCTGCGAATTACTTGGTCCGTACAGTACTTCCAAAGATAAGGCTCGTCCCATATGTATCGTTTGGCTTCCTTCTTGATTTTGTCTCTTTGCCAACGGGATGAATCTGGGGGAAATTGACTTGTGACCAAGTAATTGACGATATCTGCATACCATGGTGCTTCTTTGGCTGCAAATAAATGCTCATCTGGAAATGTGTCACAGATTGGTATACCATCTTCGGGCGATACAATGCGACTTAGATGATCCGCAACCACATTTTCCTTTCCACTCTTGTCTTTGATCTCAATATCGAACTCTTGCAAAAGCAGCATCCGCCGTATTAACCTCGGCTTCGAATCTTTCTTTGTAAGTAAGTGCTTTATGGCTGCATGGTCCGAATATATGATCACTTTAGTTCCAAGGAGGTATTGTCGGAACTTCTCTAAAGCAAAGACAATAGCAAGCAACTCTTTCTCTATTGTGGTGTAGTTGCCTTGTGCCCTATCAAGGGTCTTTGATGCATAATAGATGACATGGTGTGCTCGGTCAACCTTTTGTCCCAAAATCGCCCCAACCGCGGTATTGCTAGCATCGCAAATGATTTCAAATGGAAGATCCCAATTTGGCGGTTGAATAATGGGGGCGGATGTCAACAAATCTTTAAAAAGATCAAATGCCTTTTTACATTCATCACCAAACTCAAAATCGGCCTCTTTTTGTAGAAGTTGACACATCGGCACCGTGATCTTGGAAAAATCCTTTATAAACCGCCGATAAAAACCTACATGGCCAAGAAAAGAACGTACTTCTCGAACATTTGTCGGGTATGGTAAGCTCTTAATAACATCTGTTTTGGCCTTGTTAACTTCTAAACCTTTTTGGGACACCACATGTCCAAGTATCAAGCCCTTGTCAACCATAAAATGACATTTTTCATAATTAAGGACTAAGTTCGTGTCAATGCACCTTTGTAAGATTTTGGTGAGATTTTGCAAACATTCATTAAAAGAGTTTCCATAAACAGTAAAATCGTCCATGAAAACCTCTATGATATTTTCCACATATTCTGAAAATATGCTCACCATACATCTTTGGAAGGTCGCGGGTGCATTGCACAAGCCGAAGGGCATGCGTCTATACGCAAAGGTGCCGAAGGGACATGTGAACATGGTTTTCTCTTGGTCTTCTGGGGCAACCGGAATTTGATGAAAACCAGAGAAACCATCAAGGCAGCAATAGTGGGATTTCCCGGCCAATCGTTCTAACAACTGCTCAATGAATAGCAAAGGGAAGTGGTCTTTGTGGGTGGAAGCATTCAACTTCCTATAATCGATACAAACTCTCCACCCGTTTTGCATACGAGTGGGTAACAATTCCCCTTCGGAGTTTTTGACAACGGTAACTCCGGCTTTTTTCGGGACTACTTGCATAGGACTCACCCACTTACTATCAGAAATGGGGTAGATTACACCTGCATCCAAGACCTTCATGATCTCCTTTTTAACCACCTCCATCATAGGTGGATTCAACCTCCTCTGTGCTTCACGGGTTGGCTTGAAGTCCTCTTCCATCAGTATTTTGTGCATGCATAATGATGGGCTCAACCCTTTTATATCCGCAATGGTCCAACCAATAGCCTCCTTGTATTTCTTCAAAATTCCAACTAACTCTTTTTCTTCTTCTCGTGCCAGCTTGGTCGAAATTATCACCGGTAATGTCTCTTCCTCTCCAAGATAGGCATACTTGAGATGGTCGGGAAGAGCCTTCAACTCAAGAGTCGGTGGTTGTATTACGGATGGGAGAAGTTTTGGATTAGAACTTTTTAGCTTCATGCGGGGTGGTTCAACTCTCATGGGTTGTGCTTTCTCCAAGGAATCAATTACTTCAATCAATTCCTCTTCCAATGTGTACTTGTCAGCCAACTCCTTAATCCCTGTCTCATCAAAGTGTTTGCTCAAGATGGTGGTTAGCACATCTTGGCTTGACATCTCAAAGCAATCATTAGTACATGAATCAATAACATCTATGAAGTTTAAAGAATGAATATCGCTAGGATAACGCATGGCTTCAAAGATATTAAAGTTAATTACGTCACCATCGAACTCCATTGACAAAGTACCATTGGCTACATCTATTTTTGTTTTTGCGGTACTCATAAAGGGTCTCCCCAAAAGGATGGAGCTCGATTGTGGGGTGTTTTCATCACCCATGTCCAAAACATAAAAGTCAGCGGGAAAAACGAGCTCATTAACTTGCACTAACACGTCCTCCAATACACCTTTCGGATGTACCAAAGACCGGTCAGCAAGTTGAATGATAACTCCAGTTTTTGATAAAGGTCCAATTCCCATTGTCTTATAACTCGAATAGGGTAAGACATTAATTGATGCTCCAAGATCAAGCATGGCACGTGGTACAAAAAGGTTACCCATTTTGCAAGGAACCGTGAAAACACCCGGGTCCTTGCATTTTTTTTGTTGCCGCTTTTGTAACACGGCTGAGACATTTTCACCAACCTTCACAGTTTGATTTCCTTTAAGCTTTTTCTTAGATGTGCAAAGTTCCTTAAGGAACTTAGCATATCTAGGAATCTGTTTAATGGCATCTAAAAGAGGGATATTGATTTCAACCTTTCGAAACATGGTCATGATTTCGTCATCTTCCCTTTCTCTTTTGGTGCTTGCCAGCCTTGAAGGAAATGGAGCTGGTGTGACTTTCACTTCGGATTCTATTAGCTTCTTGGACTTTGGAGTACTCTTCTTTTCCTCTTCTTTGCCAGCTTCTTCCACCTTAATCTCTTTTTCTTCTTCTTCTTCTTCTTCATCCGACATCCTTGGACTGTCATAGCTTTTCCTACCTCTTAGTGTAATTGCACACGCATTGTGTTTTGGGTCCTTCTCCGTTTGAGAGGGTAGCTTG